TTACTAGTAGCGATGCACTTGTTACTAATAGCTTCTTGTTACTACTAACACGCTACATATGGACGCAGGATAGCTCACGCTTCTTCAAGGAACGCACGGTTTTTAGTGAAACTGTTCGACGAAAGCAACTCAGGGTTCTGGTGGGTGAACGTGGCTATGGGACATAGCATGACATAGCAACAACAGACATGCCTGAAAGTTCTTGCACAGTCAAAGCCGAGAATCTCTTTATTGCAATCAAAGTGTCCAAGATGCTTCTATTATTCATGATATTCATTGATTTCAAAGAACAGGCCCGTTTTGGCGGGTAAGTTTGGTCGAGCCTTGGCACCTTGTCATAGTGAAAGTTTATTCGTTTTCGAGTCCAAACAGTTTAGGTGAAAGTCGAAAAATGTGAAGAGCGATGTTCAATTCGGATAGCTTTGTCTACAGCCAAGCCTGTACTGCTCATCTTTGCTTGTGACATGAGACCTTTGTGATTGGAGGAAGAGACAAAAAGAGAGACCACTATACACACTCGTGCTCAGACAAAAAAGGAACCGCTGAAATATGGTTCCTGAAAGGAGATGCACGAAACACTCGGTCTGTGGATGTCTTTCGGTGACGTGTCCAGAGAGCGACGGAAGACCGGAGAACGCGATGTGCGAAGCACATTGTTTGCACCACAGACCGAGAGAGCTTCGCTTCACCAGGGGCGTCACCGCACATCTTCCGTGGGTGCTGGCCTTACTCTTGAGGGAGAAGTAAGCCATGTCGTGATGCTCAATGCATTGGAACAAGTACGTGTTTGCTGTCGTGTTTCCATGTTCACAGTTGGTTTCACTGACTTCTAAGGCCCAACCTAGCTCCAAAACAGAAACAGAAAAGATGTTTAGACATTTGAAGCATTTGAAGCAGCTTCACCATATCAGAATGAGAGAACAACTGGAACGTATGAGAATCTTGAGAACAGACTACGAAAAGTGAGAGTGTGAGATGAACAAGTCTCAGAAGTCTGTTTAGATACATGATATGGCAGAAGAATCTAGCACATCCTCCATTGTAAGAGATAACATTTGTGATACTTTTGCCTGACAACTTCAGGTTGGCGTTGGCATGGAGCTGGCAGCACTCATTGCAGGAGTTGCTCTCGCCACTTTCCCCTACAGTGCAGAGCCTCGCAGCTGAAAAGTCAAAGCCGGAGAAATAGAAAGGAAGATGATCACATCAAGACCATAGCATAAATGTACAAGACCAGAGTCAGAGGTTTATGAAGAAGATTATCGAAGATATCTTCTATTTTCGTACGCATTGCACGTCACTTGCATCCAGGTTCAACGGCAAGATCAAATACATCCGAGACTTTTTCATTACACTCTTCTTCGCCGCATTAGGAATGCAGGTTGGGAAGCTGGTCGGTTCTGTTTTTCGATGGCAGAGAAGCAGCGAAGTCAAGCAGCTTTACTGATCGGCTTTGTACCGCAGATCCCTGTGCCGTCTGCAAAGCCGATCTTTACAGCTTTGCTGATCGCCATATGCGTCCTCCTCTTCCGCTGGCTGGGCAACTCCAAGAAAGGACGAGCAAGTGTTTTCGATCGGAGCAAAACTCCGTCTTCGATACAATTGAATTGTTTGCTTCCATTTGCACCGAGCCTTTGCAAATTACCTACTCCTTGTTTAAGGTTGGAGGATTGCTGGTAGCTGGCCTCAGTGCTCTCAGGTATCTTCTGCTTGGTTTACATTCTGGGTGGATCTGCACGCCTGGGAATTCTGGCCACGATTAACCTCTCGCAGATCTCGGAATTTGCTTTGGCTCCTTGGAGAAAACTGAAACAATCCCAAATCGGATGCGACTGCAGCTTCATGTCCTACAAGTACTTGTGCGCAAGTGCTGAGTTATACCTCGGAAACGTGTCTCCTGTTGGGTAGCTTGACTTTTGCAAACTGCATGATTTGCGTCGCGAACTAAGGTGATTTGCTCCCTCGGAGCCTTTGACGAACTGTGTTGCTTAATTTCTTGTGTTATTCCGGACTGCGAATTGCATGAGATGGATTCACTTTTGAGATTATTAGATCTGTTCAACGTACGTTGTTGTAGCTTTAAGATGCTCTAAGCTCCCAGCGTGTTCTTTCGACTGCTTGTCGTGAGGAATGAGCTACGGGCATATCGATGACACTACCCTGGAGATTATTATTTGGGTTTGGATCTCGGACGTGTAACAGTCTCATGCAATGCAAACATTTTTTCTATGCCCCTGCAGTACGTTTAATCTTCACCAGGTCTTCATGATGTTGTCAATTCTCTCATCCAATTTGATGACCTACAACCACCAGATCTTCAGGTCAGCATAAGTTTGCATACAGTATCTGAAAGACATGTGCGGACGTTGCTTGAGTGAGCATGCCCACGAGCAAGTACAGAGTGTATTTTGCCGTATTCAAATGATGTCATGCCATGAATTCTGACAAGAATATGCCTGCACGAGAAGATGCACATGTTGTCCAAGCATAAACTAGCTGACTACAGTCTCATTCAAGATGCAATGTTGCCAGCCAGGCGATTGGCATGGCTATCTCGAAAGGCAAAGCCTGTTGTGATCCTTTTTCAGCCTTGATTCAAAGTACACAAATGCCTGCAATTATGTATCAACAGAATAGTGCAATCTCTTGTTGTCGAGTTTACTTGGATCAGGTGCTAAAACAACGTGGCATACAAGATACTGATGATGGGCCTATGTCACTTGATTGGAGAAATAGTCAAATCACTTCTGAGACTTGCAAGACACGCTTGTCCTCATATGATCGCTCGAGGATCGTGCTGTTGCATGCTTTCCCTCACTCCAAGCCTGTTGTGAAGCCACAAAGGGGCCAATTGACAGTATTCCAAGCCATTCTTTCAACTTTGCTCATCAGCAACTTATGATGATTCATGGTTGTTACTACTAGCGATGCCCTTGTTCCTGGTAGCTTCTTGTTCCTAGTAGTAATGCCAGGAGCTACTAGTAGCTTCTTGTTACTACTAGCGACGCCCTTGTTACTAGTTGCTTCTATTTCTGGCTTCATTCGCTTTATTGCCAAATCTAAGGCACGAGGAAGATGAGCGTGACATTCTCTTGCTGGGTTGAGATCTTGGAATTCATGAGAGACCTTGCGTGAGCGTATAGCCAAACAATGCCAACCAGAATGACATGATGATTGTTTATACGAAGTATATGAGGGGTTTGGGACTCCTTTTTATCCAGTTTTTTTCCAATGGCTTATCATATTGCATGCACTTCTACCCCTGCCTTCGTGCATGGCAAAATAGCCTTCACAAGCAACACGGTCATCGAACTGTTCGCTACCTTTTGATGAGCAGCTGGCTGGTTGACGTGCACACATTGTGCCTTACTAGTAGTAACAAGTGCATCGCTAGTAGTAACAAGTGCCTTAGTAGTAGTAACAAAGAAGCTAGTAGAAACAATAATTAGTAGCTTCTTGTTCCTAATAGCGATGCCCTTGCTCCTAGTAGCGATGCACTTGTTCCTAGTAGCTTTTCGCATGCCATATGCATATCTTTATTTTTGGTGTCTACAAGGGGGTTTGTTCGCGAAGGCTTTCGGCGCATAGATCGTGTTTGCTTCGAGCCTTGTGACCAGCCATCCTCGACTGCCTGGTGTTTCAAAAGTCTACCGGAAATGGATTCTTGCCGATCTATAAATAGTAACAAGTGCCACGCTAGTAGTAACAGGTGCCTTACTAGTAGTAACAAGAAGCTATTAATTAATTCCTCGACAGAATCACTCCTTTTATCTTGATAACTGCCTCCGAAGTGCGGTCCTATCCTTTCGGCCCGATTCAGTTCAGCCCTCTTTCTCCTCACTGCCCAACCAAGGACTTTATCCTCACGACAGATACTGAACAACTTGTTCTTCTCTTGTCTTCTGGTTCTCTCTCTCCCTCGAGCTCCAGCCTCTCTCGAGGCCTCGATATGTCTCGATTGACTGATCTCCCGGTTTTGCACTTCGCCCTGCACACATGGAGACAAGGAAGCGTGGAGAACTCTCTCCACGCTTGAACTGCTGTGTGTCCTGATGGTTTGACATCCGCTTGAAGAATTTCTTCCTTCTTGGATGAGAGCCATGAGGGTCATGAGCTTCACTGGGACAGCGTGCTGTTTGGAGGTCACAAGATATTAATCGCTGAATTATTTTCTCACACGCTAGTAGTAACAAGTGCCTTGCTAGTAGTAACAAGAAGCTAGTAGTAACAGGTGCCACGCTACTAGGAACAAGTACCTTACTAGTAGTAACAAAAGTGTGGACATGTTTCTTCCACTCTTTGGCACATCCAATCCACACTCCTCTTAGTATGACAAGCAAGCACTCTTCTTAATCGCTATGGCCTCCAACCTAATAGCGGCATAGCGATCAAAGGCGTATATTTTCTTGAATTGATTCTTCTTACTGTATATATTATATTCTGGAACTCTGGGGATGCTTCCTTCAACAATTGACTGCTAATTGCCGCCACTGCTTGCAATTGCTTCGACCGAAAAGCACTGCACAACCATCCGCTAAAGCACCTACAAACAACACCCTCGTTCGCATAGGAATGAGTACCCAGTGTTGTGCAAATAAACCAAAAGCAACGTACGTCGTGAGGTGAATATGTAGAACCTCCGATGTTCTTTGTTCATCGAGGTTTCCACCGAATCGCCTCCATGATGGTGGCAGAGTTCGAGCAGCACAATCCCAAACTGCTGAGGAAGTTGCAGGTGACATCGAGCGACGCGAAAGTGCTGAGCTACTAGTAGCATCCTTGTTCCTAGTAGTAAGGCCAGGAGCCCCTAGTAGCGCCCTTGCTTCTAGTAGCGATGCCAGGAGCCCCTAGTAGCTTCTTGTTAAGTTTTGAAATTGCTAAAGAAGTTCTGAAAAGAGATCAAGTTTGTCGGATTTGTTCAGGTGGTGGAGTTCAACCAAGCGGTGAAGGACCGAGAGAGAGTTGGAGAAAGTATCGACACAATGAGTCCGAAGACGACGGCGTTTTGTTTCAGCCAAGACTACGACGGCACTTGTTCCTAATAGCTTCTTGTTACTAGTAAGGCACCTGTCTATTAGCGTGGCGCTTGTTCCTAATAGCTTCTTGTTTGACTTACTAGACTTCCCTAAATATTCATATCTTTGCCAAGATGCAGGAGCCATTACTCCGGCGTGGCATTAAATTCAGCTACGGTCGCTTGGCGGGACGACATCACTTGGCCGTGGGAGTGTTTATCGGCTGTGTCCTCATTTGACCCTCACTAGACGTGGACAGTCTCGGAATTTGCAAGGGGCAGTTTCGCATGATTCCGCAAATCTGAGAGAACCACATGTTCTTTCATATTAGGAAGAAAGAAAGGAAGAACGAGAAAACAGAACTGACGCTGACGCTGTTCTTTGTTCTTGTTTTTTAGCCCACCCTCAATTAAGTAAGAGCTAAGCAAACTACTAGGTAACCTGCTTAAAATTCATTACTCATTCCAGGTGACTTCTCTTCTGCTGATGTCTTGGAGCACTGCTTCCACGGCGAGCCAAAGGCCACCAGTTACGGGTAGTTGACTTTGCATGGCTGTTCGCAGATTGCAGGGCACCCAGCCTGTGACGAAATCCAATGCCAACACTGCAATCATGCACTTTGCTGACTGAAGTTTGTCCCGCAGATTGTCATCTCGACGACGCCAGACACCATGCTACAAGGCATCTTGTCGATTTCGCACACATACTCAGAGCTTGTGCATGTTTTTGCCTTTTTTCTACATACAGTATTTTCCTTTGCATCCAGTATAGATCGCTACTAGGTTCGAGGCCATCGCTACTAGGTTCGAGGCCATCGCTACTAGGTTGGAGGCCATCGCTTCTAGGTTGGAGGCCATCGCTTCTAGGTTGGAGGCCATCCCTAGTAGGGTGGAGGCCATCACTAGTAGCGTGGAGGCCATCACTAGTAGCGTGGAGGCCATCGCTACTAGGTTGGAGGCCATCGCTACT